AACCGGGGGCCCCCCCCCCCCCCACCACTCCATTACCAGAACGTCGACAATATCTGCGACTATGCCGCCCCTCAGCCCGCTTGATGAGGTGTGTACCGACAGGTTCCACGCCGAGACTAACCTGTCCCGCGAAGAGAAGTACGAGGAGGCATACGCTGCTTGTCGGAAGTAGAAGACGCGGAAAATGACGAGATTGACGAGATTGAAGATTACTATGTACTGGATGAGCCGCAGGTAATCTTGTCTAGCGACGAAGAGGACCCCGATACCAGCGACTCTGACGCTAGCGACGAAGATATGTTTGATGACAGTGATGAAGAGGATCCCGCCGATACAGGCGATGAGGAACTGGACGTCAGCGACAAGGGCAAGTCAAGCGTGCGAGAAGAAGAAACACGAGAGGAAGCCGAGTAATAGCATACATCAAAGAAGTCATAGGTTTATCGATGAAATCTGAACATATGTTTCTACACACCCTATTTCCCAGCCTGTGACCCGGGGCGCTGCACATCCCATTTTCAGGAACAAAGCCTCAATACATAATCATAGCGCCGAGAACCTCGAAATGATGTGTAACTGCAAATCAGGAATCCAATCGGGGAGGGGCGAAGAAATACCCTCTGAACCACACTTTTTGGTAGTCTGTTCCTCGTACTCTGTATCTCCCAACAGGGTACTACTCCTTTCACTTAATAGTAAATACTGCCTATGAAGCGTTTGAGCGAGTGGTGCGCTTGTTGATCTCAGCCTGGGCCTTCTCAGATCCAGTAGCGACGGCCTCGGCGGCCTTGTCCTTGGCGTCAACAGCGGACTTCTTGGCCTTGTTTGCCTGGGCCTTGACCTGCTCCTTAGAAGGAGCGGCACCGGAGCCGAGAAGAACGGAGGCAAGGATAGCGAAGATGGTGACAGCGATAACACCAATACCACCAGCGACCTCAGGGACGAACTTGGCAGCCTCAACGGGGTCGCGCTTGGCGATCTCGAGGAAGAGGGCCACCTTCTCCTTGACGTAAAGGACTGGGTCATCCTTGAAGACGAGGTCAGAGGGCGACTTGGGTGTGTCCTTGGGCTTGGGCTTGTTGGCCTCCTCGTCAGCCTTCTCAGCGGGGTGCTTGAGATCGAAGGTCTCGGCCTTGAGCTTCTCAGCGTCGTCGATGGAGTGGCCAATGTAGATGTTGTCGAAGAGAATGTCCTTCTGCATGGTCCAGATTTCGAAACCAATCTACGGCATGTTAGCAAAGAGTCTGTGCAATCAAGATAGAGTCAACTTACAGCACCGATGGGCTCAAAGTTGGCAGGGGTCTTGTCCTCGAAGTAGTCAGGGTTGGCGATCTTCTTGGGGGCCCAGACGCCCTTGTAAGCCGGGTTGTCGATGAAGGGAGCGGTCCACTTGCCCTTGTAGGCAGGGTTCTTCTTCATAGGAGGCTCCCACTTGCCGCAGCCAGAGACCTCGTCACACTTGGGGTTGGGAACGGTGGGAGGAACCCAGTCACCGTCCTCCTCGTCATCCCAGTCTTCGGGCTTCTCAGCCTCGGGGTCGGGGATGGTGGTGGGCTCATCCTCAAGCCAGTCTTCAGGCTTGGTGGCCTCCTCGTCGACAATCTCGAACGGCGCATCCTCGTCCCAGTCCTCGGGCTTGGTAGCCTCGGGGTCAGCGATGCGGGCCTCGTCAACCCAGTCTTCAGGCTTTGTGTCGTTGGGGTCGTCAATCTCCTCAGCGGGGTTGACGGAGGGGGTGAAGTCCTCCAGGAGGGTTCCGTTGCGAACGGACTCGCCGTCGATCTTCATCTCGAAGCTCTGGTCAGGCTTGACGATGAGGGTGTAGAGGCTGGTGGTCTTGACGATACGAGCCATGGGCGGGTTCTTGAGGTGCTTCTCCTCGTACTCGCCGGTCTTGGGGTTCTTGTGGCGGAAGATGAAGTGGACCTAGAAATGTCAGCGTAGTTGGCTATATTGAGAGAAGTGTCGTACCTTGTTGGTAGCACCGCACTTGTCGGGTCCGAACATGATGATGTAGGGAGAAGCGTTGGAGAACTCCTCAGCGTGGAGGGCTGCGTTGTCCTGAAGGAGCTTCATGTACGCACCACCGCACTCGAGGCCATCTGTCCGTTGTTAGAATAACGTGATATCCCAAATTTGGCTAGAAAACCTACCCTGAAGCTTGACTTCGTACTGAACAACAAGGGTGTCATCCTTGTTGTCAATGGCCTTGGGGAACTTGGCGGAGATGGCATGGTGAGCCGCCTTGTCCTTGATGACCAGTCCCTTGTCACCCTCCATACCCTTCAGTACGGAAGGCTCCTCAACGGACCAAGTGCCAACGTATGCCCATTCCTCGTCATCGGCCTTGACGTCCTTCTTCGCGTGTGAGGGGTTCCATCGGGACTCCCAGTCGTCGGTGAACTGCTCGAGGAAAGGTGCCTTGAGTTTTGTGGGCTATACGAATGTTAGAGAGAGCCTCGGCTAGGTGTATGATTCAGAGACATACAGTAAAGGTCGGCTTCGCGACCGTGGTCGAGGAAGAAGACGCTGACTCGGAAGAGCTGGCGTCGTCTGCGCGCACAACGGCGGCAGCGAGCGCAACGGTGGCGCCAATTGCAAAACGCATTGTGCTTGCCTTAGTTGAGGGTTGAAGTGGAGGAGAAGAGTTCACGGATTCAACGTTGGGGCAAGGTGGCAGTTAAATGCCCAGTACACAGAAAGGCCACCTTAGTGAAATGTGGCAGGAAGCGGGCCCTTGGAGCTCCCCACTAGCGCGGCGACCCATGCACGGTTATGCTCCAGGGTTATGGATGCTTCTCGAATTACTTTCACGCCAGCTGGCCAGATCTGATACACTTTCACTTAAGAGTTCATTGCATGCAATTACTATCAAGTGGTTAGGAAGTCCTAGTAATCCAAGGTCCTTCCCAGGTGCTCGCTCACGATAGCTCTTGCCAGGATTCTGTGTCCGCGGCGCTAGTGCAGACCTCGGGAAGAACAAACGTTTTCTCCACACGTCAACCCCGAATCCAAAGGTCCCAAGATAAGGAACACAGTTCAGGCTGCTTTTCGAATCTCAAGGAGATACTTCAAAGAGGCCACGTTGTGCACAACAAACTCGCATCGATCACGCTCATGCGCTGTACGACCAACACAACACACTGCATCACCCAGTACTGTCATCAATGGTTGAACGTATGTGGTATCGATTGTAGGTGAGCTATATCCATAGTCACACCAATGCATGCAGCCAACGGCGCTTCAGTGTAGGTATTCCCAAAACTCCGCCGCCTAGCCAGGTCGTAAGATGTGGTCTGCGTATGTATGCTACCTGTTCCCAAGTCCATCCCGCAAGTAGTACAAAGCCGCGAACGCCATACGCTAAAGTCAAAGTTCTAATTACTCCATGCCGCATTCCATATGACATGGCCTATGTCGCGTGCAGTATTTACGGTGTCAACAACTCTGCCGATGAGAGTGGGTGGTAAAGGCTCTTCTTCGTCGCCTTCAAATGGCATGAACATGCCGGATGGTGTTCTTCGTAGTGCGCCGCTTTCCAGTGAGGCTGACGACCCACTCCGGCGCAATGAGTACGGATCCGAAGCAGTGGGAGTGCCGGCCCTTTTTGAGCCGTAAGCGCTAGAGGGCTTGAGGAACTCCTCACTCTCTTCGTCGTCCTCTTCCAGCAGGAAATTTCGTGATGGATTGGACGGCTTCAGGGTCTCGGAGGACGGCGACGGAGAGAGTCCGCTGCGCGACTTCCACATGGCGAGGGAGTGATGTTGCTGCGTCTCGGGGACGTCGGGAGAGTCTGTCCGGTACTTGAGCGTCGTCGATGGAAGCTTAGCAATGGTCTTGTTGTCCGTGCTGATGCTGACGGACGAGGCAGTCCGTGAAAGAGGCTTCTTCCGGCGCGACCGCTTCATCATGACGACGCCCTCGTCCGACGAAGAATCCGCTTCCTGGTACTTGGCCCAGGGGTTGTGGTTGCAGTCATCCTCCTCATCGTCGGCGTCTTTGCACTCGACGGCGATACATTGCTCGACCTTGTCGTCGAAGCGGATGTGCCGCTTCTCCCCGTGATCGGGAGTGTGCAGTCCGGAGGTGGACTTTGAGGAGAAGTAGTCCGTGCCTTCCCAAAGCAGGCCTCGGGACAATGTGGAAGATGTGGGGAAGTCGGGGGTTACACGGCCGATGATTGGTCGGGGCCGTCGCAACTCCAGCGTCACACCGGTTGTTTGCTGGGCCTGCACCGACTCGGCCGCTTGTTGCAGCAGTGACGACGACGACAGCGACTTTTGCAGCATGGCCTCGGACATGCTGCGCTTCTTGAGGATTGGCTTCTTGACGCCATTGACGAAGGAGTTCGTCTTGGACAGGCGGCTGGCTGGCTCCGAATTCTGCTGCGAGCAGAAGCGATTTGAGGCAGGCTGCATGGGCCCGTACAGCCAGGTCACGTCAACGTCTTTGAGCCTGGTGATTCGTTAGCAGTGCCCAAGAGTTAAAAATCTGCAAGATGGTGCACGGATGGGGGTGATCGACACCCCTGCCGTGGCTGCAGATCGAAATATTCGGGACTCACCAATTCAATGTCTCGGGCGAGATGGTCTTGAGCTTAAACTGGGCCTTGGCCCACGTTCGCCACGAGGCATTTTCGAGCCTGGAGCGCTCACCGTAGACGCTGCGGTGCTCGACGATGTGCCGCCACGACGACCAGATGTCCTCCTCGCGCCACTCGTACGAGAGGTAGTCGACGTGGTGTGAGGGCTCCTTGCGCACGGCCGTGTCGTCTTCGGACATGGGCATGGGGTCTGGCGTGGTCATGGGAGTATCGGAGGAGAAGCCTTCGGTCGGCGACGGTGAAGGCAGCGAGCCCGGGCGCATGGCTGAGGTTGCGGGCTTCAACGAGGCCATGTCGATGGGCGTGACGCCGTAACTGATGCCCTTTGCAACACCCTTTCCCTTTCTGTACTGCCGCGCCGAGCTGTAATTGGGAAATGCCAGGCCATCGTCTTCGCTGCTCGACTCGTCTGACTTGGGATCGAGCGAGACACTGCTGGAGGGCGTCGAGTGCATGGACGATGTGCGCGAGGAGCCGCTCAGCGACGGCGAGCGCAGGTCGGGCAGCGAGTACTGGTTCTTGCGGATGGGCGTGTAGGTGTCGTAGGCGAGGGACGCGGACGAGGGCGAGCGCTGGAAGGGCGGGTTGTCTCGCGGGAGCGACAGCATGGCCGTCATACCGGGCGGGTGCGGGTCAATGCCTCAATATCTATCACAGCGTGGGCCCGGCGGCGGCGAGGGAAAATCTCAGATTGTTCGGCGTAGACATGCGGTCGTGACTTGGTATGTATGGGCGTGCGGGGACAGAGGTGCAGTGGAGCGTGGCCAGGAATCGGGCTGACGACGCAACGGCGGATGTAAAGGCAGCTGTT